CACACACACCACACACACACAAACACACACACACACAACGCACAGGCAAGGTACTCTTTGTTTGTATGTAGACGTCGTACGCTAATGAACCTATGCATATTCATGTACCCTCAATAAAAGAGCAGTGTTACGGGGGAGCGGATGAGAGCAACTGGGGTCAAGCGAAGGAACGGCGTTTGTCCGGTTCTCTCCCGTGCACGAGAAACATGACGAACTTTGCCTACTTCGTGTCTTGCTTTGCTGTGTAATTATATTGTCTTCAACGTTCCAGCGAATAGATTCAAGCTACAAACCTATCACTCCTCATCACATTTTGGCCATCGGCCACCTGAAAGCGTAACTTTGGCCTTCTGACCATGAACTAGTTTTATTTGACAAGAGAAATGTTGGTGTAGCTTGCTTCAGTCTCGCACATCTGCAGCACTACCATCGGGGATTAACTTTTTCCAACTGAATTTTGAAAGTGCATCCATTTAGTTAAAACCTTACGTAGAAACTCTGTCTCCTTCTGGCTTTGCAGAGATAAATTCCTGGTATAATTTAAAACATGCACGCGTTTCAGTTCGCCTTTTTCACAGCCTAAAGTATAAAGCAGACAACTCAAATGATGTTAGGTTAAACTCTCAGCACAGATTCTGCAGCTGCTTATCAGGTGTAGGCAGCCTCAAGGCCATATGTCACCAACTGCTGACAATCAGTGCACTACTAATTTATACTCACTGACCATTTAATAGGAATACCAGTGAAATCTAAAGCAAAGCACAACGTTGCCAACAAGGGAAACTATTCGGGCCACTTGTACAACATGAACTGCACACAAACTAATAGATATTCTAAGCGACTATTCTGAATACTTTCGGTCCAACTTTTCAACTTATTTTGTCATCAGGAAACTGCAGGAGAAAAGCAGCCATCACAGCAGCACACAAACAAAAAGCAACCAAACAAAAATGCTTATAGAGCATTCGCCCTAAAATCTATTTCACTTCACTACTTACATTTTAAAGGGAAGTCGATTTCATTGCTTTTTTTTATATTCAGCATGCTTCTCTAAACCTTAATCTCGCCCAGTGTGATTAGGTTCGTGCTCTGTGAAAAGACTGCAATCTCACAAAAAAAGTGTCCAGATAACCATTTTTCAGGTCTCTATCCAAATTCAATCTCAGTTAGGAAAAAAAAGGTGTTTCAAGATGACATTGAGTTCAGCTAAGAAAGTTGGTTCTTCTTTCCCCATTTCATGACTTTCTAGTTGTCAGGGAGAAGATGCTAGCTGTGTTGGAGATATCAGTATTTTGTAGGGGATCTTTATTCATCTTAGGCCTAAAATATGATACATGATGGTGAGATATTAGAAACTCTATAAAAAGGGCACAGCCAAACCTAGACCTTCTAATATCCTTTTTTAATGTTAAGGTTACTAAACTGTGACTTAATTGAATCTGAATACACCCTGAACCACATTTAATTACTGCACGCTTTACAAAAGGCCTCACTGCATGATTGCTTTTAAAAATGGAATTAAAAAACAGAAATTAAAAAAGAAAAGCCCGTTTAAATTTATTCCTACTTTAAAGAGCAATTAATTGAGTTGAACAGATGTAACTTGTTTCTCTTTCTTCCCCCCACAGACAGACCTTTCCACCAGAAGACGTCTGCTCATGTGCTCACAACAGCAACTCATTTTCATGTTATTCATTAAAATAAAACAAATTCTGCATTCTTTTGCCTACCAAAAACATGGATTTTAGTAGCTAAAAAAATGAAATAATTTTCTTAAATTCTTCTACACTTTTTTTATTATTGAATTTTCAGCAACAGGCTTTCTGAAGGTTTTTCAAAGCCTTTCTTTGGACATTGGCTGTTTGTCTTTTGTTTTAATTGTTTGTTAAGCCCCTTAACACTGACCTATGAACCATTCAGGCATAACCAAAAAAAACAAAAAACATCTTTAAGGAATGAACCCGGACTGTAACTAGACATAATAGACAGCTTGGCAAAGAGACAAGTTAAGTTGTGTCTTTAGACACTGTGTTACTAGTATTGTTCTTGTTCTTCTTCAGACCACTGTGCGTGTGTGGATATATATTTCTGATTGGCCCTCAACCACACAATACCTTCTGCTGAAGCCCATACCTGCCAAAAATAACCACCAAATTTTTGCTAGGTTTCAGGACTAACAAGCTCCAACTTTTTAAGAGTTCATCATCAAGGTCAAAAACCACCTGTTAGAAAAAGTTCTGTCACACACCTAAAAGTTAATAAAACTTGGACTTGTTTGAATTTTATGATTAGTTCACTCTTAAGGGAATATTGCCAGCTTCCAGTGGGCTGAGACTGTAACACTCTTTTCTGTAAACCAGGAAGGAATATGAATTTCTACCTTGTAAACTGATCCTCTGTAGAAATTGCCAATACTCTTAAACTCTGCAAGCAAGAAAATGACCAGACATTCCCTTCTAATGCCACGAAGGGAATATAGAGATTTCTGCCGAATACATTCTCAGTCCAATTTAGAAGTACCTCTTACCAGAGGATTTTTTTTTATGTATTGAGAATAATGTGCATTTTTGTTTTTATTGTGAAACATCAGCCATCCCAAAATGATATTTAGAATATTGTACAAGTGCACAGAACAAACTAATTTACTTGTGAACATTTATTAGTAAGTTGAGATAAAAGCATATTTGACAGTTAGTGCGCTTTCTTAAAGATTTCATCATAACAACCAGGAAAAAACTGCCGTATTTAAACAAAGAGCTACAGTTAAGTTCAGGAATTTAAGGTTATAGCAATATTAGACACTGAAACTTTTCCCATCTCCCTGCAGGTGATTATTACAGTGGGTGTAACTGGAGTTTGACAACATGGGTACTTGTATATAAAATACATGTAAATACAAATGCATATTACTATAATACACTAGCTCTTTGTCTGTCTGGCAACTCCTTCAACACAGTCATGAGCTTAGCAGCATAACTTGGCAGATATTTACATCTTGGGCAAATTAAGGTATATATATATTGTATTAAATATTATGATATTGTCATGACGTCTAGCAACAAGTAAAAATGACCAACTGCTAGCATTTATACCCAGAAAAACCTTATAAACACATCTCATTTTAGTTTCAAGACAATAACATCTAATTCCCCCCATTAAAACTTATCGCAGCTGCTTCACATTTAGTTTTGGCAGGACTACACAGTCTGTCGAGCAATATCACAA